TCTACAATGCACAGTGTGCTGGATCTATTCAGAAAATAGTTTTAAAGAGGCAGACAATCCTCAGGTCGCTTTTTTGTTGAGAGACAAGGACTATCACATAGTTTTTTAGAAAACAGATAAGTAAACAATGATTAAGAACTATCTATTTTTCTCTTGGCATTCGGGGAAAAGGGATGGGGAAGCATGCAAGGAAGAAGGAAGTCTCCCAGAATGGCCCTCTGAACTGGCAAAAATTAGTCTCCTTGATTATTAAGCCCTAATCCCTAGAGGGGAAAGCTGTTAAAGCAATCACTTGAGAAAGGGAAAAGAAAAAGCAAAACATTTTCTTTGAGGTTAGAGGATTTGTTAGAGATACTGAGAGACTCTAGTGACAGGGCCATACAAGTAGCTACATAAATAGAATGAGAGTGACTCTTGTTTTCTATTGCAAAAACCAGAAACAAACTCCAGCTCTGTACACTGCCAGCAACTGGGGAGAGCGGGAGGGGAGTAAGCTCTAGCTGAAGAGGCTAGGATGATTCCACATTCCCACCTCCTTCCAAACACAGTTGCCAACTTTCACACAGTAAATAAGCACCCCGACTTTCACAATAAACCAAAAATCAGGCTAATCCCATTTCAAAACAAGGCCAAAACAAGCCAATCCCTAAGAACTCTAACACTCTATGTGACTAGATCCCCCCGGTGTGCAGTCTGGGACTGTGGTGGACCCTCTGTGCACTCCAGACTCTCTCCCCACCTTGTCCCTGCTTGCCGGGAACTGATCAAAAGAAAGAAAGAAAGAAAGAAAGAAAGAAGCAACAAGCAACTCACAAGCCAATTAAGCCACAAACAAGCCCAATTGCTGGGGGTTTTTCCCCCACAGGTTTGGCATGTCTGCTCCCAAAGCCCGCATAAAAGTCTTCCTTTATATTAGCCACACCTTTCATACTTTTTCTCACACTCCCTTAAGAAGGTGTTATTTGGAGATCTGAAATTTCTATTTAGAGACTTCAGCAGGCCTTCACATAGCCTTCACATCTCATTATGTTATGAGCCAACAGTTCAGCAAAAAGTTCGAAAAACGATACACTAGCAAAAATTATTTGGCGAAGAAACAGGCTTTTAGTCTTTCCCTCCCTATCTTTTGTTAGATAGCTTTTTCTAAACACCTTTGTCCATCAATCCAGTTGAAGCTGTTTCTAATAGCTCTGATCAAAAGATTAAAAATGCCTTTCTGAAAGCAGAAAGAGACACATTACCTCCTAAACCTAAGAACATGCTATAGTAATTTAATCAGTTTTCAAAACTATATATTCACTTTATAACTTGTGGTGTTGGCATAATTTACCAAAAACCTGAGGGAGAGAAGATCTGATATCCAAGTTGTCCCAAATTTTCACCAACTCATTATTGGGAACAGTTACTCTCTCTCAGCTCCCCGTTTGTAAAATGGGGATTGTAGCACTTCCCTACCTCACAGGGATGTTGTGAGGATAAATTCATTAAAAGGTGTAAGGTTATGAATATGTTAAGTGTAAGATACTACAGTGATGGGGTTAGGGTGACCAGATAGCAAGGGTGAAAAATTGGGACGGGGGTAGGGGTAATTGGCACCTATATCAAACAAAGCCCCAAATATCGGGACTGTCCCTATAAAACTGGGACATCTGGTCACCACAGATGGGGTCAGTATAAGTACTGTAGACAGGCAGAAACTATTGGACTGAATGGATGTACTACTGAATACACCCAGCTACAGAAGCTCAGTTGCTGACTCAGGACTTGAAGTTAGGTAAAACCACAGTGGTACAAATAAAACCCACTCAGGCTCTAGATTTTGCCACACTATAGCACCCTGCCATCCTCAACCTAACCTATCCTTCACTGACAAATTCACATCTTTCAACAAGCAGCTCCTTTCACAAGATGCATCTTAAAAAGAAAACTAAATATAACTCCACCCTTTCCTGTTCCTCCCAAAATAGCATGGAGTCCTGCAGGAAGTGTGTGGAGAATCCACCGGAAAGGTCTTGCCCCCACTTCCCCTCCCAAATAGCCTGCTCCCTACCAGTGCTTAAGTTGTTATGGAAAAGGTGCCAGGGCTCAAACGATATTTTTACTTTCATAACTGACGCAGCAAGCCCAGGGGTGCCAGAGCTAGGAACTGCCAAGCCAAGAGGTGCTGGGGCTCAGACCTGGCACAAATTAAGCACTGCTCCCCACCCTTCAGGAACTGCTGCTGCTGCTATGGATTGGGACTGGGACCACCAGGAGAAGCAGTAGAAAGCGTTGCTGCTGTGATGAGGTGCTGAACTACAATCAAGCAGCAGCTCAAGATATCCTACAAGTCTCTTAGGGGAGGTCTCCACAGCCTGTGGCAATGAGCTTCTGAGCCCAGGTCAACAGAGCTCAGGGAGCTTCCGCTGTGGCACTAAAAATAGCTGTGCAAACATTGCAGCTTGGGTTGGAGCCTAGCGCTTCAGAGTCCAAGCAGTAACTTCATGGCACTGTCTACACAGCTACTTTTTTTTTTTGGCACCGCAGTGGGAGCCTGAGTCTGTCAAACCGGGATTGGAGTCTCGCAGCCACTGGCTGTGCAGACATACCCTGTGTGGTTGGAAAGACTTTGGCCGACTAGAGCCCCCTAAGACTGCTGGATGGCCCCACTTAAGCTTTTAGCATGTATGTAGGAACTTTTTTATGTTTTCTCTGTAACGGTTTTACATTAAGAATAAAGGTGCTTGCTTAGGGAAACAAAGACCTGTGTGCTAACTTGTAACTTGGCAATATACTGTTCCTAGCCCTCAGAGAGAAAGCAAAGCACTGGCCTTCAGGCAGACTGGGGATACTACAGTGTAAAGGAGTTACACAGTCACAGTGCAGAGAGTTGTGCAGCCTTAAAACCTCCCCATAAAAAGGGAGTAAGACAAGGGACCCTGGCCAAAGACAGGTGATGGTAGGACATCTGCCTGGGAAGGGCACTCCTGGAGCAGACCACTGCAGGGGGAAATACAGGTGCAGTTACCCTGAAACTGTAAGATACCCAGCTACAGGAAGAACCACTTAAAGTTCATTTTCATCATTAAGCAAGAATTAAACAACAAAAATGGTGGAGAAACAAGAGAGGGAAAACAGCGAAAGGAAAGTAAAAAGGCTGGGGCTTGCTGAAACAAAATTGTGATGGACATAGTGCCACACAGCTGATCTGTACTCTGAATGGGGAGAAAAGAAGCCTGAAACTACTATGATACAATCATCCCCCAATTCTAGTTCTTTAAAATTAACACAGAAGAGACCAGGCAAGCTGCAAAAAGCCTGCAGGAACATTCAGCTGGATGGAAAGCAATTCATGTTCTGACCCACTAGCCAGCATTCAAGACTCCTCAGTGGTAAGAAGGAATAGGATGACATTCTTAATAAACCCATCCCAAAAACATTTAGTAGTCAGGAATACTAATTGATGAATGAAGGGCTAATGATTTATAGTTTATGGGCCCATTATACAATGAATCACACAGGAAAAAACTTGAATTAAAAATCTTGAAAAGAAAATTAATAAGTGACTGAAGGCAGAATTCTGAATCTTTAAATGAGAATAGGAGTCTGCCAGAAATGTTTAGTAGAGTAAAATAGAGTAGAGACAAATGTTTTACAGGGACAGCTTATATCCCACTATCTGAAGTGGTGATAGAATCCATAACCCCTGAGAATTTCCTAATGAATGAATCAAAGGTTTGGGGCTTGTGAAATTTCTCCTTAATGTTTTGATGACTAACATGATGACAATTATCTGTTCAACAGTTATACCTGTGGGTTTGGGAAAAACAATCCAAACAAGCCCCTCCAAACATTAACTAGACACAAATCTGTCAGGAAAATGTCTGCCATCTATTTAATCATGTGCAACAGCATTATTATAATTATGTTAGTACTTCATTCATATACATTCATAATTGTATGGAATGGTATATAGTTTACTGTATGCTCATAAGCCCACTTTCTTCAATTTCATCCACACTCATTTAAATTAAGCTTAAAAGTTTGTTTGATGGAATACAGATGGAAAAGCAACCAGGATACTTAAATTAATTTCATGTGAATAAGTTACATCGTATTCATTTTTTAAATGAAAAAAACTCATGAGTTAATTAACCATATGCAAGAAAAAAAAATTGAAGGGAAGAAAAAGTAGATGTGGGAAGTGTAGAGAACACCAAGCATAAATTCAAAGCCCACTGTACTTTCAGAAGTAAAAGGAACGGAAATGTAGTTGAAGGTACTCCTCATTTATATCTTCAACTCTGCACAAGAGGAAAGGGTGGAAACAGGAGAGTACCTCCAGATGGAGGCTGCTCTCTAGAACACTGGTCTGGTGCATTTATCCCAACAATGGCAATCCATACAGACCGTGCTTGAGAAAGGTGAAGTACTAAAAATCATACCCCAGAAACTGTATGAATCTGTTTTCCAGCCACCAAAACCAACTTGAAGCAAAAATGCTGAAAGGCACTTCTCAATAAAGACCATTTTCCTGCCACAGTGCAGCTTTCTATGAGCAAAGAGTTTGAGAGACTAAACTTGGAAAATTTCAGCATGGAAGGTTAAAGTAACTGAAAATAAGGGGGTAGGATAGAAATACTGTTAAAATTCGTGATGGTGAGTGTGATGTGCTGACTCTATAATAAAGATGACTATTCAGATATACAAGAGCCTTTACTTTCTCTCCTGCAGGTAATGCATTCATCTGCTAAAAAAGATTCTTAGGAGAAAAGCTCACACTTACTCTGTTGCCAAATTCTATAGTATACTGCTTGAATGAGATTACAGCAATGATGCAGAACCAAGAGGGCAAGTTGTGTGAAGAGGCAGTAGGAGGCAAATCCTTACGGCTCTGAGAAATGAGAACAAACTGTCTATCCCCAATTCTAAACTACTTCACTCTGGAGGGAGCTTAAAGTCAACCAATCAGATTTTATAGTTTGTTTTCTACATGAGTACTTCAAATAAAAACAAAGACAGCAAGAGGATTCTTTTATTTCAGAAGATACTAAACATCTCATAACAATACATTGTTAATAGCATAAATATTTCTCTAGAATTTGATCTGCAGATCTGATGGTTCTTCTTACGGCGTATGGCCTGAAGAAGTCTTTCCATTACATTCAATTCGTCCTTATATGGAATGGTATCAATGAGAAATTCCAAGTTCCCTCACTGCTAATTATGTATATGGATGTGCAGAAGGGGACCCTCTAGAGAGTCTACAGCTTAGTTATTTTTGCAGCCTTTGCTTTGACAACTGATCAAATTTGAAGATTCATCCAAGTGTCTGGATGAACAGACCCTCCTCCCCTTTGTGTCTGAATAATCTTTATCAGATGTAGAGACTCATCCGACATTATTTATTGGCTGTCAAAGCAGGGAGAGAGAATTCTGACAGGACTGAATTTCCACATGAAAATCTAAGAGGGTAGTTTCCTTTCAGTAATACTCTCAAAGCACCCCATCCCCTTAAAAAAAAAAAAAATAAATCTAACTTATAAAGCAATACTCAAAGATCAAAGAAATAACTTCATACCTTTTTAAACAAATGTGGTTTATACCACAAAATATATTGCAAATTAAACTATGAGATGAATTTTTTTCAACTTGATATGAATTAATGCCTCACAGTTCTTAAAGGGGACCAATTACACCTCAAATGCACCTTTTTGTTCAAACTTCAAAACATGGCATTTTAATATATGGAGGAATAAGTTAAAAGTTTTATAAACATTTACCACTTTTGTAATAAACCCTTGTGAAGTGAGGTTCTTCATTTTTGTATTGCACCACATTATATTGACCATACTATGCTTGTTGCTATTTAAAATTACAACCTTAAAAATGATTTTCTGAATGCTATGGAAGATAGAAACATGGGAACATACTGTTCTGAAAAAAATTTTAACTGCTGCCATGGCTGCAGGCAAGTGTACAAAAATTAACATTTTTATAGCTACACCCAGAGCTAAATATCATTAGCATTAGTAAACATCACCATCGCCCAACTTAAAAACAAGCCCGTAATATTTACAAGATTTGCCTGAATGTTTTCAAGAGAGGAAAAAATTCTCAGTAGAAGGAACCATTACTATTAGATTTAAAGTGATAGCACGGAAAAATGTTAAACAGATGTAAATAGAGTTCAAATGTATTTATGGACGATCCGTTACAAGAAGAAGAGCCATAAACAAGATATGCAAAGATATTTAGCTAACATGTGGAATGACCAAAACACATTATCTGTGCAACTGAAAAAACCTAGATGAGAGCATACTAATCTCTGGAAAATCTTATCCTAATAGGGGCAAGGGAAGTGTTCTAATGCAGTGATGCAAATGAGACTGTCTTCACTTCTCAAGCAGTAGTCAAAATGTCTTACTTCCATTGATGAGGTCAAAGATTTATTTATTTAAAAATCCACTGGTATCTTAGAATTGGCCACAGAATTAAACATAATTAATACAATACCTAGCTCTTACACAGCATGTTTCCATCAGCAGATCCCAAACTGCTTGGCAAGTTCATTAGACATCACGTTCACATAGTTTACCATCCTGTTTCTCTCTATTCAACAGACATGATTTCAGCAGCCAACAACACAAGAACTGCTAGAGCTGAAAACAAATGCTTTATGCCATCTGAAAAGCAGCATGGAATCCCAGCTCTCAAAAACGTAAAAAGTCTCAAACTAGCAATTTGGGATATTGGCTGGTAAAAATCAAGTATAGAACTGAAGAATAAACCAAGGTGCTAATTAGAACATTTACTGTAAAGGTTCAATATCCCACAATCTGCTTGAGCTAGAAATATTATTTTCAGACCAGTACAAATGTTTTCAGGACCAATGACTTTCTCCAGCACAATCCTGGACCAATAATCAGAACAAACAAAAACAGTTGCCATATATTCTCATAAAAAAATAATCACCTACAATAAAAAGTTCCAGTCATTACATGTATTTAGTAGATTGATTTAATTCACTGAAAAGAGAAGATAATCTGGTCTATGTTTTTTGTTGTATTTTCTGAAGGAGAAATTCTATTTGTAAATTTAGATTTGGCTGTCCTTTTTTGGTCCTTTTACTTAATATTTTATAAGTTTCCATTTTCTTTTGCTTGTAGAGCCTTTGAGCTTCTTCTCTTTCTCGTTTCCTTTTCTCTGCTGCCTGAAATAAAAGCAGCAAAAATGTAACTGACATGAGAACATCAGAATCAGTACAAACCCCGAGACGTGATTTTTAAATAATTCACGCATCTTCGTGAAAATATTGGAAATTGGGTACTATACTGGTTTTATGGCCACCACCTCTTTTAAAAGAAATTTGAGAACTGAAGAAGAGTCAGATATTATTGTAACAGAAACAAATGTTACATTCACCTAAAGCATTGGAATGAAGACTGCGTTGGCAACTTCACATCTGTGGCACAATGGTACTCTCTACCATAAAGCTAAAGCTCTTTTGTCTTTCACACAGACCTTTCTAAAGGGCTGGCTGAGGCTGTAGAATGAAATCCCACAGGAACGAAGGAAAATCACAAACCTCACCACCTTCTGTTCCAAGGGCAAGACATATTTTTTTTTTCACCTGCTTTCTATAACAAATACATTACAACATACATATTAAAAAAACAAACTGAAACAAGAAATAAAAGCCTCCCCACTACAACGAGACACTGTACTACACACACTTCTCCCATTGGGGAGAGAATGAGAAAAAAAAACTGAAAGGCACACACATACTACAGTGACGAGCATGGTATAAAACTCTTTATATAATATTATTCAGCATTTAGGGCCAGTTTAGGTGCTACTATCAATATTTTGTTTTACATTGAATAAATTATTAAAGGAAATTATATTTTTAATGAGCACGCTAACTAGTTTGATACACTGAAGTCATGTCCGATCAAAATACGTGAAGCTGCCACTAATCAGACTAAAGGCTTGCTTCAGTTTATTTGGATGGCTGCTCTGATGGGATTTTATTCTTTGAAATGCAACACATAAAGGCCACAAAGACAGATGTCTTAGCAGCAGTGTGCATGTCAAGAGATGCTAGTTTATAAAATGCATATTATATTCTTTTCATTGCATAAATAGACTTCAGAGTGTTTTGTAGACATTAAAAACACATGAAAAACAATTTTATGCAACAGAAATATTTCATAATTCAGCAGGAATAGTGCTTTATGTTGTATGAAAATATGAAGCGAGTTAAATGTAAATAACACAAACAAACATTTCTAAATAGGAATCCCAAAGCAGCTGAAAAATCTAAATAATGGCAAATACTAAGTCTCTTTCAAATACACCAAGTGTCCATAAATGAGTATTTTATTAATTAACATTACTGAAAAAATACTAAAATGTGTGGCACTGAACAAAAACAAACATCAAACACTCCTAATCAATTGCATTTCATGCAGGCCAGACAAAGAACCATCAGAGAAAAGTTACTTTAGATCAGTGCTGACATTGGGCTTGAAACAAATTATTCTGGAGCAGGAAGAATGACCCTGTCCATGTGGAATATGCAGGATGGCTTGTGTCTACAGGTATACATTTTGGAGGCTCTTCTTACTGACAAGACTACAAGAAAACACGTTTCTATGGAAAGGAAATAAACCTGACTTGTGGTATGGACAGATATGCTGTCTTAAAAAACATTAATATCATTGTGTGATCTATTAGAAACTTGATGTGTCAAGATTTACAACACTATTTAGCACTTAGGTGCAAACAGCAATGATGGAAGGTCTTACACCATCTTGTAAAAAACTTGGTTTTCTGGGGTCATTTTTCCTTGGCATCTTTAGGAGGATTTTGCGTGCTCTGAATAAGTGGAACACCTGAGAAAAGTTAAGAGTCCTCTCTTTGGAGGAGCATCCCCTCTCTTTAGAGCCTGTGGTTCAACAGCCCTGCTGTCAGGCATAAGGGGGACACAGACATGGAAATCCTGCCTGCAGAATAGGTGGGAGTGAAGACCTCTGAGACCACACTACTAGGTCTGAGTACCAAAGCCTTTTTGATCGGGGAGGGGGGAGGAGAAGGGGGGGGCGCGCGGCGCGGAGGAGGTTAGGATGACTTGCTTCCCCCTTCATCTTCTGAATCACTTTTACTAGTGACAAAAGAGGAGGGGGAAGCACAGAAAAGATGATTCAACTATCTGTGGGCCAGAGCCTCCATTCTAAGAGATTTCTGGCAAGTTTCCTTGGTGAAGAGTCTCACACCTTTATGATTTAACTGCATGAAAATATATCCCCCAGGGAGTGAAGTGGGAGGGCGCTAGATCCCTGCATATAAATTGGTCTGCTGTATTCAGGGTCCGGTCCAAGTTGTCCATCAGCTGACAGCTTAGCATGTTCACTTCTGTGGTGAGTGAGGGAAAGACATAATAAACAAGTCCTGCATCCTGACTTCAGGTGTCATTTTGTTCTCCAGGAACTTAGGTTTCATTAAAGAGTCTTAACATTGATGGTTACAAAAAAAACTTTCAGTATGTGAATTGAGTGTAGACTGACAGTGACTGTCTGAATTGCAGATAGCTTGGAGCTAGCCTTAAATTCCAATATTGTTAACAGTTTCATTGCTAAGCAAAGTATGGAAGGAATGATCCTATTATCATAGAAATGTAGCTCTGGAAGGCACCTCAGGGGTCACCAAGTTCAGCCCTTGTGCTGAGGCAGAACCAAGAAAACCTACATCATCTCCGACAGGTGTTGTCCAACCTGTTCTTAAAAACCTTCAATGATGGGGAATCCACAACTTCCCTTGGAAGCCTATTGCAGAGCTTAACTACCCTTAGAGTTAGAAAGTTCTTCCTAATACCTAACCTAAATTCCCCTTACTTCAGACAAAGCCCTTTCCTTCTTGTTCTGCCTGAACATGGAGAATAATTGATCCCAGTCCTCTTTATGACAGCCCTTAATGGATTTGAAGACTTATCAGATCCCCCTTCAGTCCTCTTTTCTCAAGACTAAACATGCCCAGTTTTTTTGTTTTTGACCTTTCCTCATAGGTCAGGTTTTCTAATCCTTTTATCATTTTTGTTGCTCTCCTCTGGAACTTTCTCTCGTTTATCCACATCTTTCCAGAAGTGTGGCAACCAGAATTGGGCACGGTACTCGAGCTGAAACCTCACCAGTGCAGTATACAGTGTGACAATTAACTCCCAAGTTTTCCATATGATAATCCTGTTAATACACTCCAGAATGATATTAGCCCCCTTTTTCTTTTTTTTGGTGCAACTGAATTACACTGTTATCTCATTATGAACATTTGCAGTTTCCAGAGCGAGTGACATCTCAGTTAGCATCACAAATGGATGGCACGGGGGAGATGTCACAACTTATTTTTCCCCAGTCAAAAAATCAAGTCCAAGAAGTCCAAGCAGGACAGCCAAACCTCACTGAAGGGAAGCCAGATCAAAGAGCACAGGGGTCATCAACTCCTGTGAAGTATGAGCTTAGCCAGATAAGTACATAGTATATTAAAACTCATAGAGAGAACAAAACTCAGGAAACCCAGTGCAGTGCACAACAGGAGAGCATGAACAATCATATTTTAACACTTGTACATTCGTGAGTGGTGTTTAATCTGATTTCGGAGACAAAGAATATCATTTACCGCCCCCCTCCAATTTAACCTCTGGACACAATCCTGCCCCAAATATCTCAATTTAAGATGTGTTCACCTCTTTCTTCTTGGCGCGTTCAGCCTTTATTTTCTCATATTCTTCTTTTGCTTTTTGATTCGAAGTTTTCTTTTTAAACTTCTTTTGAGTCGTATGTGACCTATAATGGACAAGTGTACATGTAATCAGCTCATGGGTCTTTAGATTACCACAATCATAACTGTAGCACAAAGCAGGATTGATTTAGTATAGACTATTTAGGAATTAAGTGGCTCTAAGAAGAGACCATGAATCTTTACATTAAAAAAAACAAACAAAACAAAAAACAAAAACAAAATACCCTCTTTTTTCACAACAAAAAAGGCATTTGTCTCTTCATTCTTGTGTCTGCTGGGACTGCAATGTGTTCTTGATTACACAAATACTAGAAATCTCACCAAATTTCTATACCAAAAGCACGCTTAGTCCTGCCAAGAGTGCAGGGGACAGGACTAGATGATCTCTCGAGGTCCTTTCCAGTCACAGGATTCTATGATGCTTACCTGATCCAAACCTGTGGATTATTTATTTATCACAATCATGATGGGATCAAGTTTCTCAGTAAATTCTTAATATACCAGCGACTGAACTACCTGGAGCTGTGTGCACAAAGAGGAATGGCAGGGAGTTGTTCTAAGTAGTACAGTGCCTCTTGTGCCCTGTGCATATGGCCCACAGAACTGAGGGGTTGCATTAGGGATATTTCTGCTCCCCACATCACCACCCTCTTCAGACTGCAGAGAATTCCATGTAGTAATCTGGCAGGAGGCAATGTAGCTTAGCAGGGGTAGATGTTTCCTGCCACCACACTCCCCCTCCCTTGTGGGATTTTTCTTTGTAACAGAGTTATCAACCTTCATGATTTTGTTCAGATTCCCAATTTTTACATTATTTAAATAGCATGATAGGTAAATAAGGACTCAAGCCATTAGCAACATTTAAACTGGTTCTCTTTGAAAATAGGTAATACTTCTGAATGAAAATACTTCTGCCAGACAAACTAACAGGTGGATAAATTCCTTGATGCTCTATAGATTTCAGAGATGACAGCTAATCAGTGCCATCTAGCAAACATGATATAGGCTCAGTCAGAAAAAAAAGGAAAGATACTGTCTTAGAACTGTCTTAGAACTCATGCTGACATTCAAAAGTATCACATTTATTTTCTGCAAGTCATCAGTTTATTTTCAGCTCCATCATGTGGCAAGACTGTGTACTAACACCTAAAATTGAGAGCACACCATTTTCATAGTATGCTACTATTTTAAATAGTAATGCAGTATACAAAGACAAATGCCAAAAAAAAAAAAAAAAATAGAATAGAAACACCATAGACAAGATTCTACTTGATATCCCCTACACCTTAATACAGAATGTGGTAAAGTGGCAAATAATCCCAAACTATATTAACTAGGATTCAAACTATTAAAAAAATAATAGCAATTAATCGCAATGTTTAAAAAAAGTCACAATCACAGTTTTAATCGCACTGTTAAACAATAATAGAATACCTATGTAAATTATAAATATTTTTGGATTTTTTTCTACATTTTCAAATATATTGATTTCACTTACAACACAGAATACATGTGTATAGTGTTCATTTTATATTATTTTTATTACAAATATTTACACTGTAACGATAAAAATAAACAGTATTTCTCAAATCACTTCATACAAGTAGTGTAGTGTAATCTCTATCTGGAAAGTGCAACATACAAATGTAGAATTATCTTTTTTTTTTTTTTTAAACATAACTGCACTCAAAAGCAAAACATTGTAAAACTTTAGCGCCTACAAGTCTACTCAGTCCTACTTCTTGTTCAGCCAGTTGCTAAGACAAAACAAGTTTGTTTACATTTATGGGAGATAATGCTGCCTGCTTCTTATTTATAAATGTCATGTGCCTTTCTCACTTTCAGGTAACATATTTGAAAATGTAGAAAAATATCCAAAAATATTTATAATAAATTGAAATTGTATTCTATTATTAACAGTGTGATTAATCACAACTATTTCTTTTAATCTAGTTAATTTGTTTTGCATTAATTGCTTGCATTAGCTGCGATTGACAGCCCTAATATTAACTGTCATGAATCAAATTCATGTAGCACATGTAATACAGCAGCAGTCATACAATCAATAAGAGCAAGAATTTCTGGAGACTCAACTTCAAGCAACTGTAACACATTAATACAAAGTGACTTGAAAACTATACTTGTACAACCATATTAATTAGTACAATAATTTCACTGTTGCACTATAATGTATTAAGTGTTTTTAAAGATAAAGTGATAGATTTATATACTTAAAAACAAATAAGATGCAACAAGATTTGTAATTAGCTCTGGCCAAAGTTCCAATGACAGTAAAATCCTCAGAAGTGAACATTATCACTAGAACACCTCAGTGAAATTCTCTCTTCAATATATGAACTACTAAGAACAAAATTTTAAGTCTCATCATTCCACATGAGAATTATGATTCACGACAAGGGGATAGTTGGAGAGACATCAGTGATATAATCCATCACAGAGTATCATCATCTAGTACAGTGGTTCCCAAACTTGTTCCGCCGCTTGTGCAGGGAAAGCCCCTGGCAGGCCGGGCCGGTTTGTTTACTTGCCGTGTCCGCAGGTTCGGCCCATCACGGCTCCCAGTGGCTGCAGTTCACTGCTCCAGGCCAATGGGAGGTGCTGGAAGTGGCGGCCAGTACATCCTTTGGCCTGCGCCACCCACTAATCGGGGCGCCTTGAATATGTGAACACCTTAAAACAGGGGTTCTCAAACTTGGGGTCGCGACTCCTCCGGGGATCACAAGGTTATTATGTGGGGGTCACAAGTTGTCAACCTCCATCCCCAATCCCTGCTTTGCCTCCAGCACTTATAATAGTGTTAAATATAAAAAAATATGTTTTTAATTTGTAAGTGGAAATCACACTCAGAGCCTTGTTTTATGAAAGGATAACCAATACAAAAGTTTGAGAACCACTGCCTTAAAATGATATACTCAAGTGAAGAGATGTAGACAAGTGGGATAAAATAACAGCCTTTGGAGGCTGCATACAGGAACAATATGGTGTCCAAGCTGCAGCTGTCAACGATGAAAACGGAAAGTGAAGAGTCAAAGGTTATAATGGCCAAATTAAATAGTATGTAAGAACCATAGTCTAAAGAATGAAGTAGGTGAGTTATCCAATGGATGCTTTTGATTATATGTAGTGGGTAGAAACCTACTATACAGCTAGCCTAAGTAAATAATTGAAAGATAACACATTTTTTTTTTCAAATTGTTATTATGGGCTGCCTACAAATGTTCTAAATTTAATCTCTATTGCTTAGCTGGGATTGGAAACACTTTCAGCACAAAATACTGAAATTAACTTTCTGTGAACATTCATACAAATAAATTGGATCACCCGAATGGCTGCAGACACAGAAAGGCTTAAGAAAATTTAAACATTTGAATTAAGCTGTGTAAGTGTGTAAAGTATCTTCTATTTTCACACTATTATCACAGTTCTAGAATTGGATCATGGACACTGTGAGTGATGAACTGATTGACAAGATGAAAGATGATAACTTCTGTATTGTAAGAAGAACAGTTAATCTGAATATTGAACTGTAGTTAAAAAGGTGCTGGGTCAAAATTAAGTTTATTTGAAAGTAAGGTGACAGGACTCAGGTGCAGTTGGTTTAGGCATGTTGAGTAAGTGGATTATGGAAATTTATGTACAGTGAGGAAGCACAATGAGATGATATGGAAAAAGGCCCAGGCAGGACCCCATTTACAATACATTTTGCCTCAAACTGCTCTACTAATAGTCCCCTATTTTTTTATTTATATAAAAAAAATATTGTACTCATCATGGAAGTGCAGACACATTTGGAGGATAAAACATATGTAATGTGTATTTTTAAACAGCTGTCATGACTTTAGAAAAGATACAAGGAATACCTTATCCAATTTAAGATGTAAGCAAAAAGCTGTTTAAAAGTTAGTGGAATCTTTTCATTGACTTCAACAGGAATGAGATCAGGGCCACTGTGACAAGCAGCACAAAATCTAAAATAGATTTGCTTTGCAGTCCAAAAAAAAGACACTAACAATCTTCAGAAGCACATTATCCCCCCATCATCCGAGGGCACTGGCTGATAACATCATCCCTGTAGCACAACAAAGGGAGTGTTTGCAAAAAACATTTTCTCCCTATTAGATTTAGAAACCAATCAACTTACCTTTAAAGGGAAAAAAAAATAAGGATTTTTAAATAATAATTTTAACATTAAACACAGTATTAAAAAGCAGTTGTTCATTTTTCCAAATAAAAGTTCAAAGCTATTTATTCTATAGAGACTATCATTTTCCTGTTAACATGAAAGTAGGAAAATTAGGACAGAAAAATGCCTTTTGCATTTACACTCAACATAAAATATAAACTGAAATTTAACTACCATTCTCTTCCAACCAGTGTAGTTTTAATTTAAATTCCTCTATTGCTACAGGATCTGTGCAGGCATCTCAGCTAGTAGGATTTGGGGACGAAATTAGTAAATTATTTGGCCCAGAATCATTATTTCATTCTTCCACTGAAGTCCCATGGAAAAATTCTCATTATTTCAGAGGGCTCAAGAAATGTTCCCACTCATTTTTCCATCATGTGCTGAATAAATTGTGTTATGTGCCTATGTGTGCCACCAGTAGAAACAAAAAAACCTAGATATAATATATATTTTTAAAAAGTTACATAGGGATAATTAGTCGAACCAGGACAAGTTTGGCATTTTAGAACTCACTACTCAAAGAATTAATTTTAAGTGTAAGAGAAATAAAAATTATGAAATGCATAGACCAGTCAAAACACTAAAATAACACTTTGAAAGAATAAAATTACAGCGAATATGTGCACTGAAGGAAGTACCAAAAAGCAACAATAATAATATAAGTAGGTGTTGGGAGGTGAGTTTGAAAGAGACTGTGTGTGTTGGCTGCTGGTGTAGGGCTAAATTTGATAATTGTACTATAAGAATTGATGTAAACCTTGATTTCATTCTGCCAGCCACCTTTTTTGAATAACAGAAAGGAATGACTGTCTGAGACTGGCATCCTGTTTCCCATAT